ATAACGGTTTGGTGGTGATTAACTCCTTTAACTTTTTCTTGTCTGGGAAAGTCTTTATATGGCCAACGATTCTAAATGACAGCTTTGCAGGATAGAGTAATCTTGGTTGTAGGTTCTTGTTTTCATCACTCTGAATATTTCTTGCCACTCCCTTCTGGCCTGCAAAGTTTCTTTTGAGAAGTCAGCTGACAGCCTTATGGAAAACTCCCTTGTAGGTAACTAGCTGCCTTTCTCTTGCTGCTTTTAAGATTCTCTCTTTGTCTTGAACCTTTTGCATTTTGATGATGATGTGTCTTAGTGTGGGCCTCTTGGGGTTCATCTTGTTTGGGACTCTCTGTGCTTCCTGGACTTGTATGTCTGTTTCCTTCACCAAGTTAGGAAAGTTTTCTGCCATTATTGTTTCAAACAGGTTTTCGATTTCTTGTTCTTGCTCTTCTCCTTCTGGCACCCCCAAGACGTGAATGTTGGCATGCTTTAAGTTGTCTCAGAGGCTCCTTACACTATCCTCATTTTTTGGGATTCTTTTTTCTTTTTGCTGTTCTGATTGGGCATTTTTTGCTTCCTTATATTCCAAATCGATGATTTGCTCCTTGGATTTGCATACTCTATTATTGAAACTGTGTAAATTATTCTTTATTTCAGTTAATGCCTCCTTCAATTCTAACTGTGCATCCATGATTTCTGACTGGTCCTTTTTTATGCTCTTGAGGCCCTCCCTAAGTTCACTGAAGTTCTCACTAAGTTCATTGAGCATCCTTATAAGCAGTATTTTGAACTCAGCGCCTGTTAGGTTGCTAATCTCCATTTCGCTTAGTTCTTTTCTTGGGGTTTTGTTCTGTTCTTTCATTTGGGACCTGTTTCTTTGTCTTCTCATTTTGGCTGCCTCCCTGTGTTTGTTTCAGTGTATTCCTTAACGAGAGGTATGGGGCTAGCTGAGACCACATGCTGCTCGTTTGAAAGAATTTAGGAAAAACCTGAACCAGGATCCAAGAAAGGCCAATCCTATAGTTAACCAACTAGCAACAGCTTGGGTGGGCCTGAAGTTGGATGGGGCGGGGCCTCAGGGAGTCAGCAGGGCGGGGCTACCAGTGTGAGCCAGGTTGCTGGAGTCCCAGATATAGCTTCTGCCTGTCACCCCAGGGAAGGGCTCACCAAAGGAACAAATGCCTCTTACAGCACGTTTGTCCCGGAGAAAGCCCCCTCTCCAGCCCTCGCTCCAGTGCCAAACAGCTCATTTCTTCCCTGTATGTCTCTTGCTCCTCTCGAGCTGCTTCCCCTCCAAGCTTAGAAGGAGAGAGTCCAATAAGTTTGCGCGCGGGCCCTTTAAGGAGCTGCCTGGGGCTCCAGCCACTTCAGCTTCCCTGAGCCTCAGTTCCCGCTGGTTTTTCCAGCCAGAAGTTATGGCGACTTCTCTTCCTGGCACTAGAACCCTGAGCGGGGCGCCTGGTGTGGAACAGAGACCCCTCAGTCCTCAAGAAGGACCTTCCCAGCCGAGGTATCCTCCTGATTTTTATCCACCACACTTGGGTGTGGGACCAGCCCATCGCTCCGCAGCCACCCCTCGCGCCTCCACCCCTCCACCAGTCTCAATGCGGCTGCTGCTTTAATTCCGTAGTTGTAGGACTTCCATTCAGCTTGATTTCAGGCGGTTTTGAATGATGGTTGTTCTGTAGTTTAGTTGTAACTTTGATGTGGTTGTGGGAGGACGCGATACCACGTTTACCTACGCCGCCATCTTCTGCTTGTGAGGTTAGATAATCTATAAGTAATTTTTCTTGCTTCTTGAATTAGGCCTGTAGTGCTATGAACTTCCCTCTCAGAACTGCTTTTGCTGCTTCCCATAGATTTTGTGTTGTTGTGTGTTCATTTCCTTGTTTTCCAGGAATTTTTAAATTTCTTCCTTGATCTCCATGGTAACCTATTTATTGTTTAATAACACTTTATTTAGCCTCCATGTTTTCAAATGCCTTTGCATGTTCTTGTTGCAATTGATTTCTAGTTGCATGCCATTGTGATCTGAAAAGATGCTTGATATGATTTCAATTTTCTTGAACTTATAGAGACTTAGTTTGTGCCCTAACATGTGGTCTATATTTGAGAATGTCCCATGTGCACTTGAGAAGAATGTGAATCTGCAGTTTTGGGGTGTAATTCTCTGTAGATATCTATTATATCCATTTGATCTTGCACTTCATTTAGAGTCTGTGTTTCCTTGTTAATTTTTTGTCTAGATGATCTATCCAGTGATGTCAGCAGGGTGTTGATGTCCCCTGTTATGATTGTATTGCTGTTGATTTCTTCTTTGAAGTCCTCCAGAAGATTTTTAATATATTTTGTTGCTCCTATATTGGGTGCATATATGTTTACATGGTTATATCTTCCCATTGGATAGATTCTTTCAATATTATGTAGTGGCCTTCTTTGCCTACTCTGCTGGTTAGTCCTTCCAATGTGTTCTTTATTTCTGCTATGTCATTCTTCATTTCCACTTAGTTGGTTTTCAGGGTTTCTATATCTTTAGTCATGGTGCTGGTGTCCTTACTCATGCTGTTGAGCTTCCTCAAGATCATGGCTCTGAACACTACCTCTGATAATTTGCTTAACTGCATTTTATTTATCTCATCTTCGATAGAGTTCTCTTGTTCTTTCATTTGGGGTTTGTTTCTTTGTTTCACCATTTTGGCTATCTCTGTGGGTTTTGGAGCCTGCCAAATATTTTTCTGTGGGTGATGGTGTTCTGCTGTTTTTGGCTCCCTCCATTGGGTTTTGATGAGCTCAGGTGGGCCCACGTTAAACACCACTGTCAAGTCTTACTTTCCTGGGTAGATTTGCAAGCCCAGGACAAGTTCAGTTATCCTCTAGCTTTTTTCTGGAGGTTATTAGTCTCAGTTACTGAGTTCCATGAAATGTAGCCCTGGTGTTCTGCATAAGAGGATTTCCAGAGGGTGGGATAGATGCTGATTGTTAATGAGCCTCAATTCATTTCTTTGCCTCACCTGAGAAAGGCTGAATCTCTGAGGTGGGGGGAAAAGCTGCTGCTTTTCCTCACAGCTCTGGGAAGGAGTACACTGGCCACAGTCCTTTGTGGCCACAACTCAGCAAAAACTCTGAGTGCCCTCCAAATTCCAGGTGTCCCCATCAGAGTTTCAGCCTAGTCTGCCCTCCCTATGCCAAAGCCCCCAGGTGAGTGGCTGTGGCTATTTTAGCACTCTGTCCAGGCTCTCTGGGATGTGGAGTGGGCTTAGTGGTTATTCCTCAAGGGTGCTGCTCACAGCTAAGACTTATGCTGTCCGTGGGCTCCCAGCCTGCCACCCTCTGCCACCTCCGCAGATCCTGCCAGTGTCCCTGGTTATATGGTCCTGTCCTGCTGCTTTTCTGTTGCTTTTCTCTGAGGATTTTTCTTTATTTTAGTTGTAATTCCTGTTTGGTCCTGGGATATTGTGTAGCTTCCATTCACTCCATGTACATTTTCACATCCTCTAGGCCTATCTTGTGTGCAGCTGGGTTGAACAGGCCTTTCAGGTGCCCCCACACCCTGCAGGTCCTGTGGGTAACTAGATCGCACAGTCCCTTTGGGGACCTGGCTCTATGACTAAGTTATGGGGCTGGTGGGTCACACAGGCCTCTCTGGTGCTTCAGCACCCCGCAGATCCCATGGGTAACTGGATGGCGCAGTCCCTGCTGGGTTGCACAGGCCTCTGTGGTGCTCCCACACCTTGAAGGTCCAGAGGGCGGGCAGCGAGATTGTACCAGTCCTTCTAGGGCTCCAGCTTCCCACTGCACTTGTGAGCTGCTGGATTACACAGGCTTCTCTGGTGCCCCAGGTCCCACTGCTGGTGGCTGGGGAGTGCTGCTGCCCAGTGAGGCTCAGCTCCTGCTCAGCTTTTGCTGTAGTTTTTGGGGATGGGTCTCAAATGCTGGTTTGTGTTTCTGTTGCCTGGGGATAAATGTCTGTTCCCCAGCCTCTGTTTCTGGGGGTATATTTTGACTCTGATAAGGCTGCTACTATGGGGGATGGTGCTGGGCTCCAGGCTGTCCATGGCTTCCGGGACCAGAACCTTGAGAGCTCCGCTACTGTGCACCGGTCTGTGTTGACACAGTGTCCACTGGTCTGATGGTGTCAGGTGTGCTATTGGGCTCAGGTTGCTGGGCCCTAGCCTCTCCCACTGCCTCCTCCCAGGGAAGACCTGGGATCTTCCAAAATGGTGGGACTCCCTGTGGAGCAGGGAGAAGTGCCCTAAAGAGCTGCTTACCCCCATAGCCGGCTGCTCTGTCCACAGCACAGGAACCTTCTGCTCTGTGTCTACACTGTAGGAATTTGGTCACCAGAAGAAGATGCCGGAATCCGGCTGTTGCGAGCAGAGAGGCAGCCACAGGAACTGCAAGGATGGCTTTTTGGGTTCCAACATTTTTTACCTTGAAGGTAAATACCTTCACAAATAGCTTGCAAAGCACATAATAAAGACATCATGTATAAAGCATAAGCAAGCCAAGTAAAATATTTCAGAACCACAATTCTAATTATACGTTTCGTTTTTAAGGAGGAGAGGAAGAACGACATCTGGGTCATTCAAGGATACCAACAGCAGTTTAGAATATTCATACCTGGTGATTTTTTTTCTATTTCTTTCATAGGTAAACAACTTCAGAATGTCTGTGAACAATAATGTGTTACAATAACACTTTTAATGACTTATATATTTTAACTTTGTTTAGCAAACAATGTAAAATATAAAAACAATATTATATATATATATATATATATATATATATATATATATGTATTAATTTTATCAAAGCAACCAGGGATAATTAAAGTAGAGTTAGATTTAATGCTAGTCCAAAGCTTACCCGGGTCACTGAATCAGAAAGAAAAACCAGGTCCTTTGCATTTCATTTCCAGCATTCAAGTCACTAGTTTGTTCAACTCCTGTGCAAAATATCTACACACAATACACATGCATAATATCGGGTGGTTGTCAAAAGAAACAGGCCATTACCTTTCCCACGTACTGAGGTTCGGAGCCCATGTATTCCTCCAGTACAAAAAATTGATTCCATACCCAGCCACGTTTAACCCGTTGGAAATGTGATGGCTGCCCTGGCAGGTGGAGAACATTTTCTCTTGGTTCTGTGGCTAAAGTCTGTTGTAGGTGTGGCGGAAGTGGTGTTAGGAGACCTCCATCAAACAGGACCCAGAGAAGCAGGGATAGACTGTTCCTTGTAAGCATTGGCAAAGGCTTTCCTACAGCAGAGTAATAAAAACTCCAGCACTTAAAGTGGAATTGTGGAATCCAGGTTTGAGGTGTCTGTGGCCTCCACCACTTAGCTTTCTATTTTATTGCAGAAATGATAATGCAGGCATTAATCCTTTTGATGAAAAGGCTTCTGCAGTATTATATTCCATCTAAAGGGACCTATAAAACAGATTAACAAAGATACATTAAATTGATAGAATTACATGATAGTCATCAAAACTCATTATATCTGGCAGCATTTGAAGAAGCAGAGAGGAAAGACTCTAAAAAAATTACATTGATAAATGTTCATTGCTATCCTACCTGTTAACGTCGATAAACTGAGCTTTTTACAGACTTGTAAACTATTAGGTACAGTGAAGCAAAAGGTATATCATAAGCATAAGCAATCATTTTTAAAAATTTAATAATTATTTTAAGGCTAAAAGAGGAATTACTGTTTTAAAAGTAAACTAAGAGTACGGTTTTGCCACCTCAGTGCCATGGACATCCAGGGTTGGATCATTCTTGGTGCTGGGAGCTTTCTTGTCCACTTTATGCCTTTTTGAAACATCTCCTTCCTCGAATCAGTAGATAACAAAGGTGCAACCTTCCCCAGACCCAGTTGTGACAACCAAAAATATCTACAGACATTGCCAAATTTTTCCGGGGAAGAACAGAACTTGCCAAGACTGAGAACCACAGATTTAGATAATAAGAGAAAAATAAAACAATTTTTAAAAAGCAAAGATTCTCTACTACATACTACAAAGAATAAGGCCATTCAAGAAAATTATAATTCATTCACACACACACACACACACACACACACACATACACACAACCAAGATAAATTACCAAATGTGAAAGTAAATTATCTTAACAAAATATAAGCAATCAATAAACTGTCAGATGGCTTTAGAAGCTTTAAGTTTTAAAAAATGCTTCTGTATCCTTGGTATACCAGAAGCCTTAGATATGAGGGAATTATTTTGTAGATGGTGTCTGGTTCAGAGCACCATTGGGTCCCTATCAGATGGACAACCTATACTCTGCATTTAGGTAAAATGAGCTTTAAACTTCTCTTTACAGCAAGCCTTGCTTTTTTTTTTTCAATCATTTACCTAAGGTTTACTGAGTATCTAAATGTACTAGGTCATTTGTTATACAGTAGATAAGAAAACAGACACAATCTTTGCCTCTCTTAAATCAGAAACAGAAAACAAATTAACCATCAAATAAATAGATGAAGGCAAATTTACAAATGCTGTGACAGTAAGCCAACAGACTATGCTGATGGCAAAACTTAAGTTAGAAAATTAAAGATGCTAAAAGCCTATTTCAAGTGATGGTCACACGGAAGGTACAGAGCTATAGGAGCAACCCTGTGTCTCGCAGCCAGATGTGGGGACCACACAGCTTGAGCCAGGTGGATTCGTACATTTGTCACCAGGTACACAATGCCCACAGCCTAGGCGGTTTCCAAGGGCCAACAATGTTGGAGACCAGATGTACATATAATGCTTTTAAAAGACAACTAAAATAAAAATCAATACATTTTTTATTGAATGTGTATAAAACTATGCATTGTGTCCACTTGTCAGCTATAATTCTGTTCAATACTTATTCAGTTACATATAATATAACCAAAAATACAAAGCACCCTTCACAAATATTCACTTGATCTTAGCCAAAATGCCGAGAAGGGATCCCTTCACAAATATTTTAATTTCAACGTTGAATGTGGAAGTAATTTCCCATGTTCAAGATAAAGTAGGGAGTGTCCGAATGTCATACTCTAAAAGCTTTCTATAAAGACATTCCCCAAAGGAGAAATAAAATAGGTTATGTCTTTTATTTATCATCTGAAAGGATGCAACTTTTAGAAAAAAACATAAGTAGCATATATTTTATTGCATCTTTTCATTCCAAAAAATTAATGTTCATAAAATACTAACTTCTACCTATATTGTACAAATTAACCACTAGCTATATGTGGCTATTAAGTTGAAATTAGGCAATTTAAGATTGAGATGTGCTCTACTTTTAAATTGTATACAAAATTAAAAACAGTACAGAAACATAAGAATTTAAAATATCTCATTATTCATTTCTGTATTTATTATTTGTGGACATAATAATATTATGTTAAACAAACTCTTTAATTAATTTTATCTCTTTATTTTTATTTTTTAATGTGTGTACTAGAAAATTAAAATATATATGTAGCTCACATTTGTGGTTCACATTATATTCTATTGGACAGTACTGGTTTAAATAATAGAGTTTAAATCGCAAACTGTGACTTCTTAAGTCATTTATTCTTAACATTGTATCCTAAGCAAAACACGCCAAACAGAGAAAGACAAGTATCATATGATCTCACTTATTTGTGGAATATAATGAACATAACAGTCTGAGTAATGGGATAGTCCCAGAGATGTAGAAGTGGGGTACAGACTGACAATCCCCAGAAGAGGGGGTGGTAGGGGAAAGATAAACCACAGAACTTATATGCATGTGTGCATGAACAGTGGACATGGACAACAAAGCTGGGGACAGGGCAGGGAGGGAGGAGGAGGAGGGGGGAATCAGTGGGGAAAAAAGGAAAAACATCTGTATCAAAAATAAATAAATTAAAAAAAAAAAAAGAAGTGCAGGAGGAGACCAAAGAACCAAAAAAAAAAGAAAAGAAAATGAACTGTCAGACATGAACTGTCCCATGTCTGTGTGACCATATAGTAAAGAGATCAGAGATATCTGCAGCTGTTTTCAATTAGTCCGTGTAAGCCCGTGTGCATATTTTCCTCACCTGTTTTGAGTTTAAATTGCTGACATGGGCATCCAGCACGTTTTAATTGCTTGCACTTATATTGTCCTCTATGTTTCTTTCTATGCTTACGTCAGTCCCAGCTCAGGGATGCTCAGACTCATGGGGAGATAAACATGTGAAGAAACAATGAAGCGCAAGGACCCTAACTTCCCAAACCTAATCTAGCATATGGAACCACTCAGGTTGTATTTCTGCCTTCCTGTTCCATGCACATTTTCTCCTCCATTTTTTTGAGGGTCTAAGGTATCAAAACTCAGATTTTTTAAAAATGTTTTTTATTGATTTTTTAGAGAGGGAGGAAGGTGGAGAGAGAAACATCAATGTGAGAAACATTGATTGGCTGCCTCCTGCATGCCTCCTACTGGGGATCAAGCCCACAACCCAGGCATGTGTCCTGATGAGGAATTGAACTGGCACCTCTCAGTCCAGAGGATAAATAAAGCCACCCCGGCCAGGCAAAAACTCAGATTTTAGAGAGCATTGAACCTAAGGTTAGTTCTCTAAGAGTCTTTTTATTTTATAATAGAGACTTTTGATGTTGGACACCTGACTATATTCATCATCATTATCACTAGTCTGATTCCAGCTACCCTTTCCCCTTTGCATTCTACCCTCTCTTGACTTCCAACCCTTTATTAAAATTTGAGTAATCTGTTGGAAATTCTAATCTATCCATATTGTCCCCCATCTGTTATGCTAGAAGGTGCACCTGCAATGTAAGTAGATTAATTTACAAATGATTGGTAAAAAAAAATTGACAAGAATGTGAATATAGCATGGAAAGTATGTTTCTTCTTAAACTAATGTCCCAGCACATTAAAGATTTAAAGCAGCAGATACACACAAAATATTGTAATAAGGCTCAAGTTAACTGGAGCCACAAGGAGCATGATTCCCAGTTCCCTCGCACCCTTAGTCTGCTCTTTCCTTCAGCTCCTTTTAGACACATGTTCTACCTTAGTGTGTTGTATTCTCCATTTTCCATGTGTGTATGCATTTTACTCTTCCTCTTTCTCTAAGTAGACTGATCCTTACCTATCCCTGCCACCAAATTACTTTCACCATTTTTCTTAAGAAAGAATCTTATATTTACAGAAATATTTATTAGTGGTTTATTCTTGCTGATATTTTTATTAAGATGATGATTGCTAAGGAGCAACAGCACAAGTTTCTAGGGACTCCCATACTACATTGTAGTAGAAACATCTGTAATTAAAAATATAAAGCCTTCTCATTGCACACAGGGGATCTAATGTGCAGTATGTTGATGATAGCTAACAATACTGCATTGTAGATTTCAAAGTTGCTATGTGAGATGTTAAAATCCAGGATTTTATCATGACATTTACGAAATTGATAGGCCTGCATGATCTACTTCTCCTCACTAGACCCTTGCCATTCTCTCCTCTCTGGACTTCCAACCCTTTATGAAACAAATCTTATTAGTAGTAGTAATGATAGTGATTTATGTTATAGATGTGTTTACATAGATATTTGTACTGTTTTCTGTGTGGAGTGAAGAGGGTTTATGACAATGGCAAGGATATCTCTTACATTCAGTCCTCACTTAACTTTGTCAGTAAGTTCTTGGAACTGCCAGGAAAAAATGTTTATCAAAACCAATTTGGTCATAAACTAATTAATATAAACGAGGATTAAGTTCTTAGCGCCTCTCATCAACATTGTAATGAATGGACATTGAACCAAATGATGTTATTTGAGGACCTGCTGTACCTGGGATATAGTATGTACCAAATACATATTTCAGTTGGAGTGAATTACCCATTAAATATTAGATAACATTTTTTTCTTTAATTTTTTTTTTCTTTATTGATTTTAGAGAGAGGAAGGGAGAAGGATAGATAGACACATCAATGAGAAAGAACATCGATTGGCTGCCTCTTGCATGCCCCTCACTGAGGATCAGGCCCACAACTTGGGCATGTGCCCTGACGGAGAATCGAACCAGCAACGGTTTAGTGCATGGGTCAATGCTCAGCCACTGAGCCACACCAGCCAGGCGCTAACTTTTTTTCACATAGTGTTGTATGTTCTGTACAACTGCTCTATGAAGGAGGTGCTCTTATTATATCCATTTTACAGATAACACAGAACAGAGCAGTTCAAGGACTTGAACATGGTCCACAGATTAACTCACAAAGGCAGATTTGAACCTGGGCAGTCTGTCTCCAGAGCCCATGCTCTTGGATGCTGTTCTGTGCTGCCCTACATTAATGAATGCATAAGTAGTTGAAAGCATCAAGGTTTTCAAATCCTAGCAAGACAAGCAATATGAGGTTAAAGACCTGAACTGCAAATTATTTTTTCAAAGCAAAGTAGGTGTTTC